TTAATAAAATTTACTTTAACAACAAAGAAAAAAAAAAAAAAAAAGAACAAAATCACATAAAGGAGAACAGAACAACTTCATTTGAGAAAACTAAGAAAATACAAAAATATGACTGAAAACTATTAAAGAGAAACTGCCCTTCAATAGTCCAAAAGTCTAATCCCTTGGAATGTCATAAAAAGAAACCGCAAAAATTTTCCCCAAGCAGAACACTACAACAAAGCCAAAAATACAATTTCATCCCACAACTGCTCATGTTGAGATCAATTCCCAAATTAAGCTCTGCTTTCATCATTCATTAAATAAAAACAGCAATGTTTAAAAAACCTGCTATACTTGTGTCGATTTAGAAAAATATCCAGAAACATGTTCCTATAAAGGACGGAGGTTGAAGAAATAGATTTAGTTTTTTTTTTTTTTTGATTTATTTGCAAGTTAAGCTCTGGTTTATAACAGTCGAGTTCATATGAAATCTAGACTTCAAGAAATCTATTTGTGCACAAATTACACTTCGACAACAGATCAAAATAATAATAAAAAACAGGTAAGCATAATTTAGAAACAGGTAACAGGATATTGAATAATGCAAATAGACTTGGGGATTAAATATTATTCACTCTACATAACAAGAAAGGATTATAAAAGAGGTTAACATGAGCGTGAAAGCATGTAACCTCTAGCAAATCATTATATTCAACAAACAAAGTGCCAAAGATCAACAAACACACCTTTTCTAGGGCTAGGGCAAGCTTTGAGAGATTTGGATAGATGTGTCTTGCTGCCAACAAAATCTGTTGAAAGCATGAAATTATATCACATGATGTTGTTCAGTAGTATATGGAGAATGACCAGCAATAAATAGGATGAACAGATGCAAGAGGAAGAACAAGGAAATATATGCAAAAGGAATAACAAGGAAATATAGTTTTAAAATCATGATTTGTATCAACTGATGCACCTTTCTGTCTCTTATTCGATAAGATCAACTTGCCACAAAGATAACATTGAATATATGAGTAAAATCATACATCACACATGACTAATAACAAGGATTTCATCGTGTAATAGACAACATGAAATAGCAACAAAAAGTTGATGGCACATACTTCACTAACTCTATCACATCCAACTCTCATTGAATTGCTAGTTTAGATAACAAAAACATAAAGGGAAACCTATCAATGTACCCTTATATGATATATGTTTACTCAATTATATCCTTGTGAAAAAAATAATCAATTGCAACATTTAGTTTATCCATGTTCTCTAATATGTTCATTCAATCAATTTTATTTTTTTTTTTAAATTAATAATCAGAGGCATTGCACATGGTAACTTTCTTATGAATCAACGTAAATTCCCTTTCAAAAGTATGTAAAAGGAAACAGCAAAGGCTTTAAATGAGCAAATTGTAACAGAAAAAAATTGATAGATGAGCATACATCACAGAAAATATGGATATCTAAAGGTTATGACTCAGATTTTTTTCATACAAGTGTACAATTGAGAAGATGTATATTATATAAGGTGGCATTTGTTTTATGTGAAACATAATATGTTTTCCTGATTTTCTCATGTTTGTTTGGCATAAAGTATTTTATAAGGAAAATTGGTGAATGAAAAATATTTGATATTCCTATTCTCAATCGACAAGGCCCTCCAAATGCCATGATTTTCTTTTTTTTGTTCACTTTTCGATCAACCTATAAACTTGGTTCATTTCTTAGACAATATTTTCAGCATAAGAAGTTGCATAAAATATTTTACTAATAGTGATCATCTCACAATATCATACAAATATTTCTACCACCATCACCACCCCACTGCCAGCACCCAACACACCACCACCTTCAAAACTGCCTCCACCGTTCCACCAGCACGACCCTATCACTCTATCACCAACACCAGTGTCACCACACCACCACCACCTCATAAATGCACTTACAAGACATTAATCCGTTTAGAACAAGGATGATCTGCCCATCCTAAGTATTTCCCAATCTTTCATGTAGAAAAAGAATTCTGAAGATCTTCACTACCTTTATGAGGATGGAGAGAAGGAAAACATTTGGGGGGAAGGAAGTTACCTTTCATTGTTTGGGAAAGAAGGAAGATGAGAGGAAAGGAAGTGGAGGGCATATACTTCCATGGACTCACCAAATAAGTGCAAGGAAAATAAATACAATTACTCAATTTACCTCATGATAAATTTTCTTCCATCACAAAAATAAAGGATGAGAATGTAATCTCATAAACTTACCCTACACTTCCATTCCCTTCAGTTTTTTTCTATCCAAACAACACTTTCATTAACTTTATCTCCCTCAATTTCAATCCTTCCAGACTCATGAATCACCATACATGTACCCTAAGAATCACCCAACCTAAAATATTCTAATCATAGCAATGTCTGAAATTTACATGGGTTTAGGTGATGCACAAAACTTCATGTGTTCAAAAAATGGCCAAAACAAGTCAGAAGGGACAAAAGCTACTAAATAGTCAACTTTCATCATATTCGTGGACCCAAATTGAAATCAAGTCATCATTATCCCAGGCCACACATTAAAGAACCCATTACAGGTACACATCGATTTTGAAGCCATAACCAATGCAAGACTACACTTCATAAACTAGAGAGATGCAAACAGCGAAGAAAGATCAAAAGAAACATAAAGCCCAAAAAAAAAAAGTAAAGCACCTCGCAAAGCCTCTGTAGGGTAAAAGGAGGACCTTCTTCGAAGTTTTGGAGAGCTGGGGAACAAGAGACAAAAAAGTTACAAATTATCTCATCCAAGGGCAATAATTCAATAATTTAGAATATTCACAAGGCATATCAATATAGCTAATTAAACACCCTGTATCAAAACCAAACAAATTGCATGTCCATTCACAGATTAAGAAGGAAAAAAAACAAATGTGAGCACCACATCTATACTAAAGCTACAAACCAGCCCATCAAACACCCATGGAAGTTGAGAGATACGGTTTGCTCATTACAACAAAGCTCTCTTAAGACTCTCTCATCTATTATTTAGATTTCTTGTTTTAATTCACTGTTTTCACTTCTGATAAACAGCAGTTATTTAAATAATAGTTTTAAGGTGAAGAGCTTGTAAATATAATGAAATTATTCTAGCTATTCCATAGCATTTAATTTCTTCATTTTCCTTCACAGTTTTCATTTCTTACATGTTTATGAAATTAATTTTCTGTTTTCAAGCTCTTGTTGTTGTGACATTAACTCAAATTTGTGCAATTTAAGTTGAAAGACAATAAAAAATGTAGGAGCACACATTTACTCAATAGAGCAAATTTCGAGATATTTCTCTCAGAACTGAAAATTTTAGTTTCAAATTGTAGGATCTTCAAATTACATCGCCTGGTATACAGGTGCGCTATGGGGGTGCCTAAGGAGATGCTTTTTAGGTGGGGCCATCTAGCCTTTCAGCTATTATTACTGTAGTAGTTGGCCATCAACATTTACAACATTACACATATCAGACAAATATTATAGAACTGCCAAGGCAGTTTAGGCCCCTGAATCCTAAAATAAGAGCTAGTGAAAAACACTGCATAGGCTGGTTCCAGCTGGGGTTCGAGCCAATAGTTTTGCTTGCTTTAGTGTTATGTTTCCCCATTCTTCCATAAAATTTGTGCACAATATTTGCATCACAAATTTGTGGCCCCTAACCAAACTACATTTAAATAAGACTGAAAAAATCTGAAAAATATAAAATTTCAGGCGGTCATCAGTTAAATTGATTTTAGGGCTAATTATGGAGCAAAGTTTCTATAAACCCAATTATAATTGGACACTTAATTTACATATCAATGCATGAGGCCCAAGTCAACATCAGGGAATGTCATTTTATAAAAGGTAATAATGTGGGAAGGGGAAAACAGTTAAAAAAAAATAATTAAAGCAGCATAATGGCTAAAATTAGGGTAAATAGAAATTGGAACAAGATAATAGCTGACATTTGATCATGCATGTAAACATGATCACTTTTATAATGAAAGAGATCAGATATTCCTTCCAAACAATCTTCAACAAGTTGATGCTTCCTTTTTTTATTTACTTTGAGAGTAATATCATAAAAGCAAACAAGAGAAAAAAATCATTATAATATTTGTACAAAATTTTCCATCAGAAAGAACTCTAGGGCACAAAAATTTGGTCTACAAACTTAGTCTGAAAGTTGAAGCAAGAAAACAAGGGCCATGTGTTACAAATACAGATTCCTGACAGCCTTCCAGAGTTGACCCTATATCTAATGCCACATAGACACAAATTTATAGTTCTTTGCCCATGCTAGGTTTAGTAAATTACAAGTGGTCAAATAAGAAAGCATGCAATGTAAAAAACAAGGAAATGAGGGATGATTTCCTAACATGCATGATGCCGAGAATTCCCGCATTAGAAAATGTCAAGTGAGGTTGACCTCTTACTCAACCACATAATTGCATTATTAGACTAATTCATAAATTTTAATAACAGGAATAAGAAATTCAAATTTGCAATTAGCTACGCTAATACAGTTTTAGGTCTTCGAAACTGAAATCATTCAAAAAAGGTTTGAATCTTTCATTCAAAAAGTTTTTGATAGCCATGATGTGTTAAATATGTTGGGTATTTTAATTCCACACCACTGTCAAGGGGGGAATTTAAAAGATTTTCTTGCATGGTCCTTCTTGCAATGACTTTGATAACCCAAAAAAAAAAATCATTGGACCATATCATTTTTTTGCGGACTTCGATTTATAGAAATAATGAAAAAATTCAGACACTGCACAATAAAGCCATAAGCTTGATGCAGACACTTTCTTCTCCACTTCTATTCTTCTGATCCCTAATTGACAGTTTTTTTTGGTACAATCTTCCTCTCTGCCAAGATCTTCCTTCTTGATGAACTCCTATTTGATAGATTCCAAAAGTTGACACAACTATGAAACATTGTTGATGAAATGGACAAATGATTACTTTGCTAAACCATTTGTACCCCTCAGATTTCATTTCAGTTAAAAAGGAGCTCTTTTAATGGCTAAGCTTTCTCTTTTATACATCTTTCACCTTCTTTATATATTCACCGCTTATCAAGAACCTGCTCGCCATGGCTCCCCTCATTCTTTTGCACAAGCTCGATTTTGAAGGATCTAAAGACTCTTTCCAGAAGATGTGTTGGGCTCCTTAACTTGTTGACAAAATGGACAAATGATTACTTTGCTAAACCATTTGTACCCCTCAGATTTCAATTTAGTTTAAAAAGAGCTCTTTTAATGGCTAAAGGTCACTTTTTATACATCTTTCACCTTCTTTATATATTCACTGCTTATCAAGAACTTGGTTGGTGGCCATGGCTCCCCTGGTTCTTTTGCACAAAATCAATTTTGAACGATCTAAAGACTCTTTCCAGAAGATGTGTAGGGCTACTTAATCCAAGAGATATGGCCAATTTAGAAAATCACCTTTTTCACCTTCTTTATATATTAACTGCTTATCAAGAACTTGGTTGGTGGCCATGGCTCCCCTGGTTCTTTTGCACAAACTCAATTTTGAACGATCTAAAGACTCTTTCCAGAAGATGTGTAGGGCTACTTAATCCAAGAGATATTGCTAATTTAGAAAATCACCTTTTTCAGTTAAATTCAACCTTCAAGATTTAGAGTTTGGAGACATAAAAACTGACCCCAAAGATGGTTGTTTTTCCAAGCATTCCAGCATCAGTTAGCATTCTAACTCTAATTCCCACCTAAAATCCTTAATTATCTTAACCTAGCTTCTTCCAACGCTTTTGCAAGACAAATCCAAAGCAGTCCTACATCATGACATGCCTGTAATTTTTTGAGGTTTTAGCATGGTTTAAATTTATTCAGCAAGGTTTAGGGGAGAACAACGAGCACAGAGGTAACTTCAGCACATTATAAAATGCAATGAACCGCATTGCTGGTTTAGAAACACAAAAAATAACATTTTACTACACAAAAAAATCAAAAATAAAATACACTTCTCTTTTCCATGTTCAGCTGCACTCATTTGGTTAGTTCAGTAAGGGGTAGACAAGTCTTAGTTGGAAACTTTCGACCATATAGATTAGAATTAGTTCATCTGTGAGTCTGCTGTAACCAGTGCTTTTACAAGCAATCCATCAGGTCACTAAAATAAAAATTATCACTACATCATGTTAATGTCTTTCACACACTCATTTATTTTGTTAATTAGTTTGTCAGTTTTACTTTGTTTTGGATAATAAAATGGGCCATAAAACTACATATTTAAACATTAAATTTGACTTCACACTCTCAGAAGAAAAGCCCATGCCCAGCATATGCATAGTTGACCCAGCTAGACCATTGTCATAGACTTTGATATTTTGTGTGGAGTTATTTAGGGACTTCTCAGTGTTTTTTGTTGATTGTCATTTTATCTTTCCAGAAAAATTGACCCAGCTAGACCATTGTCATAGACTTTGATATTTTGTGTGGAGTTATTTAGGGACTTCTCAGTGTTTTTTGTTGATGTCATTTTATCTTTCCAGAAAAAAAAGACGCAAATGTTTAAAAGAAAAGAGAGGGAGGGAGGGAGGGAGGGAGAACTTTTTAAGGCTAAACCAAAGCCATTTCTGGGATTTATAGTCCCAAGAACCATGCATCTGAGTCCACAATAATCGCTCCCAGCCATACTCAATAAAAGGCTTGGTACAGCATAGTCATTCCCCATCCTTAATTCATAGTTTCAAATTGTATCACAGAAGCAAGCGAACCTTATAGACAGCTGAGAAAAGCAAAGCAAGGATAAAGATGAGATACCTTCATCCAACTTTTTCACCAGCTCTTGATAAGTTTCCTCCTGTTCCTTAGTTGTCATTTTTGCCTCGGGATATTCTGACAGAACCTTCATAAATTAGAGAGGGAGGTGAGCATCAACACCAAGGAAACAGATATCATTCAGACAATGCACTATCATTAGAAACAATAGATATCTTCTGTTATCTTGCCATTGCAAAGTAAGAAGAGGACCACACGCAAGCATACCTCCCCATACCTGCTTCAGCTGAAAGGATAGCACACTTTTCAATTTTTCCCAATCATGCCTGAGATAAAAATCATGAAAAAACACATGATATTAATGGGAGTTATTAATTTTATTAATCATTTTACTGCTCACAGACATAACATGCAGAAGAAAAGAACTTGAAGCAATTAACTTCTAAACTATAACATGCTCAAGGCTAGTTGGAGTGTGATACAGTAAGAGATATGTTGTTGACATCTAACTGC